TGTCTTTGGAATGACCTCAGAAAATTCCCATCCAGGAAGGAATAAAATAACTTGTCATATAGTTCCTTTAAGGTGTCGGGATCTTATTTATTGCTAGGAAGCCAGGAGAGGGCAGGGAGATGGTACTGAACTAAAGATAAACTCGTCTTGGCTCTGTAGTTTTGCCAAGTAGGAACCCTGCAGAAATACAATATTGTCTCAGCCATAGGCACCTTCAGAGATTCTTGGCACTTTCCATGAGAATGCATATTTAAAATATTATACTCCAAATCAGCTAGCCTTTTTGATACCAAAAAGCTATTATTTCTCTGCAAATAATACATCAAATTGTTCAGATTTTTTTTGTATAAAAGGCAGAGTTCCAAAAGCAATTTTAAGTGAATTGACTCTGTACTAAATCCTTTTGTATTCGATGTTAAGTCTCCAAGGGACCTGTATTAATCAGCTTTCTGTTGCTGTAACAAATGCCTGAGATAATCAACTTAAAAAGAGGAGAGGTTTGTTTTGGGTCAGGTTTCCATCCATGGTTTCTTGGAACCATTATCTCTGGGCCTATGGCAACACTGTGCATCATGGCAGGAACTCGTGGTAAAGAAAGCTCTATTACCTCATGGGGCAGGGAAGCAAGAAGACAGGAAAGGGTAGAGTCCTGACATCCCCTTCAAGGGTATGTGCCCAGTGACCTCACTTCCTTTTACTGGACCCAACCTCTTAAAAGTTCCACCACCTCCCATTAGTGCCACAGGCTGGTGACCAAGTCTTTAGCATGAACACTTATCCAAGCCACAGCAAGGCCTGAGACAACTTGGACATAGAGTGGATGTTCTGTTCTTCATTTGTGTTTTTTGCTCAGCACTGCATAAGACCATTGAGATGACTTGATTCTTTATCCCCAGAACCCTGCCTGGGAAACTAGCACTCACAATTATTAGAACGTGAAAGCCACATGGAGAGGACCCGTTTCAACACCCTGGCTTTACAGATGAGGAAACCAAAGCACGGGGTTGGGAATGACAGCAGAACTGCACAGCATGAATAGTGTGGGCTTTGGAACTGGATAGGAGCTTAGGAGCTCTGTGAACTTGGGCAAGCTAATTGGTATTTCTGAGCTGCAGTTTCTTCTAAGAGAGTTAGTTCATAGGGAAATGGGGTCTGTCCAGCACCTACTCCAAGAATGAAYTCAAAACTTGCCCAGATCATTATATATCTGCTACTTTTAAAAAACCAAGGTATAATTCATGCCATAGTTTGAATAAGTGTCCCCCAAGGCCCATACATTCAAGCTTTGGTTCTTAGTGTGGCATTAGTAGAAGGTGATAGAACCTTTGAGAGGCTTGGAGACTGGTGGGAGGTCTTCTGGTCACTGGGAGCATGTCCTTAAATGAGATAGTGAGACTCCAGCCCTTTCCTCTTCTCTCTTCTGTGTCCTAGTCATGAGGCGGATGGTTTTGCCATACATTGCTACTATGATGTGTGGTCTCGCCACAGGCCCCGAACCAACAGGTGGTTGAAACCTCCAAAACTGTGAGCCAAAATCAACCTTTTCTCTTCATAAGGTGATTCTCTCAGGCATTTGTGACAGTAACTGAAAGCTAACACTATTGCTATAATAAAATCCACCATTTTAAAGTGGGCAACTCAGTAGGCTTCAGTATATGTCTAACCATCACCAATGTCTAATTGCAGAACATTTCTATTCCCTGCCAATTTAGTCCCAATACTCCTGTCTCCTAGCTCCTGAAATAACTCCTCTTTCAGTCTTCATGTGTTTATGTCTTCCGGATATGTTTTGTAAAGGAATCACGTCACACAGGGCCTGTTGTGGTCTGACTCCTTTCACTTAGCACAGTGGCTCCAAGTTTCACCCAGGATATGGCATAGCTCATTTCTTTTTATTACCAGATAATATTCCATTATATGGATATGCCACAATTTATTTATTCATTCATCCATTGGTGGAAACGCTGTACATTTGTCCTTGTTTTAAATGGTTGGGCCAAAGCCAGAATGAGAACTTGCGTATCCAACTTTTCACCTGGTCCTGTTTTTACTCTCCCACCCTTTTTTTTTTTTAAATAACAATCGAACAAGCATGTTATTTTAAATGGCACTGGTCAGCTAAGAGAAACCCTCAAAACCTGGCTACATAATTTTAGGATTTTAAACCTTTTTTTTTTCCTTTTATGTAAATTTTTTATTTAGATATGGCAGTGGAATGATTACAATTCTTATTACATATATAGAGCACAATTTTTCGTATTTCTGGTTGTATACAAAGTATATTCACACCAATTCGTGTCTTTATACRTGAACTTTGTATAATAATGATCATCACATTCCACCATCATTAATAACCCCATGCCCCCTCCCTTCCCCCTCCCACCCCTCTGCCCTATCTAGAGTTTGTCTATTCCTCCCATGCTCCYGCTCCCTGTCCTACTATGAATCAGTCTCCTTATATCAAAGAGAACATTTGCATTTGGTACACCATTTCAAGAGTTTTTTTTCAGGCAGGGGGAAAATACACACAATCCAAAGAAATGAAATTTAAACATCGTAGGGCAATTGTGCCGAGAACCAGGTTTAATTGCTATTTTTCTGCCTCCTTCACCCTCCTGCCTTTTACAGAATYACCTGAGATCTGTACAGTATCTTTTTTCTACTTGTTTTATGTGTGGCTTCACTACCACGGTTTATAGCTCAGGATCAAAGAAAGTTTTTATTAGATTTAGTTGCTGTTTGAAGAACTTTCTCTCTTGTTCGCTTTATTCCATGACAAAGATGGAGAAATATTCCCTCCTTTAGTCAGTCACTGTTGCTGCACTATCCACCAATTAGGCCTGGGGAATATGTGCCTTTGGGCCAGAACCCAGTGCATTTCAAACACAGCCKTCACCTCTTCTCCCCTCCCACTGCCCATGACCTGAGGGACAGCTCATGGTGAGATGAGAGAGGACCTCAGTGACCTGGCCTGTTTCCCACCTGCTGGCTGCCCCAGCTCTCAGATCTGGTTTTCCCTGGTGACAAGATCACAGAAGGGCACCTTAATGTCTGTTTACCTGCGGTCCYCATTTCTTTAGAGTCAGCCTCCTGCCTGGGGGCTGGGGAGCAGCTGGCTTGCTWCACTTGGAAAGGTTCTGTTTCTCGCTTACTGAAGATGTAGGCAGCACAGCCTCAGGCTTTCTCTTTGTAGGTGTAGGAAAACCGGAAGCAGGTCCAAATTGTGAAGGATTTGGTTGTTGACACTCTTTGTTTGGGAACCTGTGAGCTGTAGGAGGTGGCAAGATTCCAGCTGGGAGGAATCTCCCTGGGTTCTGCGAGGAGGATGCTGGATGCATGCCTCTTGATCTCTTGAAAGGCACGAGGGTGGGGTCCAGCCTAGCTTCCTGACTGCAGCAGGTATTTTCTTTGTTGAAGCTTTAATGACCTGAAATCCTGACTGCAGCTAATTACTCACTTTATTCAGTGTTCTATTTTCTTCATATGCTTGAAGCTCTGGAGCATTCTTGCATATGATACTACACATACAAACTGCATTTATATTATTTCCTGTTTCTCAATATTTGCCCATCCTCAAATATATATATATATAWAAAAAAAACAACTGACCCTGACCCTGTCTTCTCTGCTGAATGTCCCCCATTCCCCTGASTCCTCCTGGTTGACATAGTTTCCAGCATCCTTCCTCTTCCTGGTCTTCTAGGTGCTTTCCACTTGGTTCGGTGATCCTCTTRAAATGATGCCCAGATTGGGCATGACTGTCCTTGTGTGCTATGAACAGCTCACATTAGGACCATACTAAGAAACGAAGCTGATACTCATTCTATGCAGCACATGGCTGCTAATGCTTCCTTAGCATCTTCATATTAGTCTGGCCCCTATCCAGTATGGGATCTTTTTGGTACACTTGGAAAGGTTCTATTTCTTATTGAAGATGTAGGCAGCATAGCCCCARGCCTTTTCTCTGTAAGCGTAGGAAGACTAGAAGCAGGTCGGATTTGTGAAAGACTCAGTTGTCATCACTCTTTGCTTGGGAACCAGTTGCTGTAGGGCAGAAGCTCCTAATGTGCAGTTAATTTTTTTGATCCTAGAAACAAAAGTTAACATTTCCCCCAATCCACGCTCTCTATTCTTTCTTTACCCTGGGGACTCAATATCATTCCTTCAGCAATCTATGGATGGCAGTCTGGCTTAATGCCAATGTAAGATGTTCTTGAAGGAGTAAAGAAAAAAAGTTCTTGATTTTATTCACCCACTTCTTTTATTAATCATAGTTAGCCTATTGTGCTGGAGAACATTTGAAGTTTTTAAAAATATTATTAATTGACATATAAGTATATTATGTGTGTCAATTATGTGATGAAATGTGACATTTCAATACATGTACACAATATGTAATGATCAAGATAGTTTACATACTGTCACCATAGACATTTGTCATTTCTTTGTGTTGGGGTTATTCAAAATCCTCTCTACCACCTATTTAGAAATATACAATTAAATGTTGCAACCACAGTTACCCTACTATACTATAGAACATTCGATGTTATCCCTCCTATAAGAATTTTATTTCATTTCAGTGACTGGGGATATAATTCAGTGGCAGAGCATTTACTTAGATTGCATGTGGCCCTTGGTTCAATCACCAGAACTGAAAAAAAAGTTTATTTTTTAATATGTTAGGATTGGCTCTGTCGGTAGAAAAACCCTTCTCTGACTCCTAATGCTAGGAAACTTAAATTAGTAATTTCTAGTTCATGAGGTCTTTTTGTTTATTTGAGGGCTTGGGGATCATTTTATCAATTATATAAACAATTATATAAAAAATATAATATTAACAATTATATAAATTTTAAAAGTTGAATGGTGAGCTCTCTAGAAAGCTCAAAAGTACCTCAGTGTGTTGGCCAGGGTTTTCATCACCAGGTCCTGCGAGGTTTGTCCACCCTGGGTGTTAAGAAGGGCGTTGGCGGCTCTAACGGGCACCTCTGTTTTTGCAGTTACCTGGCTGAGCAGTGCTGGAATGGCGGCTTCATCTACCTGATCATGCTGCGGCGCTTCAAGCACAAAACCCAGTCTACTTATAATGGCAACAGTGGCAACAGCTCTGAACCAGGAGAGACACCTACCTTGGAGCTGGGTGACCGAACTTCAAAAAAGGGGAAAAGAGCAAGAAAGTTTGGGGTCATTTCCAAATCTCCCACCAACAAGTCCCCGGAGGAATCCAGGAGCAGCGCCAGCTGTGAGTTGGCCGATGACACCAGCACTGAGCTGGAGAACGGCACTGACCCTGAACTTGGAAACGGGCATGCSTATGAGCTAGAAAATGGCCCGCATTCTCTCAAGGAGGTGGCTGGACCCCATCTCGAGAGATCAGAAGTAGACAGAGGGACGGAGAACAGAACTCCAAAGACAGATGCTCCTCTGGCCACAAGCAATGACAAACGTCGCATCTCAAAAGCTGGAAAGACGGACTTTCAGTCAAGTGACTGCCTGGCTCGGGTAAGGTTCCGTTCGCTTATAGAACCTACAGATTTTTTAAAAAATATATATTTTTTCAGTTGCTTTTTAAATATAGAAAATATGTCTAAGATGACCTTGTACTTGGAAGCCAACAAATTTATCAAGATAAATGATCAGAGCACATAACAACAGCAACCATGAAAAGGTTCAAGTCATTTTATCCCATTTAAATAAAGAGCTAGTCAAGTGATCATAAGTGGAAAAATTCAAGCCTTCTCTGGTAAAGTGGGTGACTTGAGCTGTGTCATTATTTATCATTGCTGTCAGAGTGAAATGGCTACTCCAGGGCCAGGAATTCCYGGTGGTATTTGAGAACACAAACATCCCATCTTCAGTCTTACACAGGAAAGGAAGCAGCTGCCTTTATTTTTAACAATTCAGAACCAGTGGTATTTTCATGGGGTCATATTCTTGCATTGGTAAATTCCAGTGCAGTGGGAAGATTCACAGAAATCTCTGATACTGTGATATTCAGTTGCAATGGTCAAGGTTGGTCTTACCTAAAAGCAGAACAGATGTGAATATTCTGACAGGTGATGGGTGAGCTTCTCGCCTTGATTGTCTCCTTCATTATAACCAACATTCTTTCATAGCAGAGTTACATTTCTCTAAGGTAAACATGTCAGTCCCAAAAATCCCCTGGCAGATGTTTTGATGAACCCTAAATGAAACAATAGCTTCCTAGGTGAGTGCTGATTGGTGTCTTCTTTAGTCAGGAGACACCATCTATAGAGATGGAAAAAAGTTGGAAAGGTGGGAAATGGACACAGAAGAATCATGTTCAGTTTTGCATTGAGAAAGGGGTGCCCTGGGAGTGAAAATAATTTTCAAAAGGCTATTTGATGCAATTATTTCTATAATTTCAGCCAATCTACATGATGAATTGAATCAAAATAATACTTCTCTCAAGGGATTGTTTTCCTTCATTTTAGGAGCTAAATGATCCCCATAAATCCAGAGGAGGCATTATTTATAGATGGGATRTGTAAACAAATGAGAAGGGAAACCTTGTGTCTTTATCAGTGATTTTCCTACCAATTTTTTGAGATTCTCCCCAAATTAAAAGCAATGAAAATACTATACGCTCCTTATCAGGGACTCTGTCTTGCTATGATTTTTCTTCTAATGATTGGATTACAAATACCCAGAAAGTCTAACGTGAAAAATAGAAAGTAGGGTGTGTTTCTTCCTTAATAATTTTGAAGGTTTGGGCACCAAAAGAGGGTGAATCTTGCTTATAGTCCAAAGAACAGGCTTTGATTTGGCCTAGGACACAATAGAGATAATTTGAAATGATAGTAAAGGAAAAAATGAAAAATGCCACCAAACTTTGAAGAGTACCCATCCTCCACTCATCTTAATTAAAATAATATCAGAATTGATTTTTTGGGGGGGATTTGGCTATCTGAAGACTACACACATGTCAGAGTGTCTTTGCCCAATCTTTTAAAATTTTTTATTTGTTCTTTTTTAGTTATGCATGACAGTCGAATATATTTTGACATATTATACATACCTGGAGTATAACTTCCCATTCTTGTAGTTGTAGATGATGTGGAGTTATACTGGTCATGTATTTATACATGAACATAGGAAAATTATGTCTGATTCATTCTACRGTCTTTCCCATTCCCATTCCCATCCCCCCTTTCCTTCATTCCCTTTTGTCTAATCCAAAGTACTTCTGTGCCTTCACACACACACTTATTGTGTGTTAGCATCCACATATCAGAGACACCATTAAACCTTTGATTTGGGGGGATTGGCTTATGTCACTTAGCATGACAGTCTCCAGTTCCATCCATTTACCAGCAAATGCCATAATTTCATTTTTCTTTATACCTTTGCTTGATATTTGTGCTCTTTTTGTCCCAGAAGGTATAAATGAAAGGGTGAAAAAAAAATTTCAAGGCTTGATTGTGTTTGGGGCAATTGGTTTGTTTTGGAGCCACATTGCTATAGAAGGGAGAGACTGGCCATCTGGAACTTGCATTCTTTGTACCTGTCCATTAACCATAGACTGGTTGTTGGCCCTGGGTCAGACTTTTGGTCTTGGTAGGTAGGAAGGGCCCGTACTCCTTCTCAGGCACTCATGTTTTACCACACTTTTCAGCCCCARAAGTAACCTCTTTAGATGGCTTTGCTCAAGATTGATGGAGTTGGCAAGGAGATCTTCATGTCCTCATAGCACCTAAATTGGAACCAGTCTCCCTTCATAAAAGATTGMTTAGGTTCTTGGGCTGGAGTGGATTTTTATTTTTACTCTAGGATAGTTGAGACCAAGGTCATGCTAAAATGGAATTTCCAGGAAAACAGAAATTAGCTATTTACCTCTTAAGCCTTTGGGGGAAAAAAATTCCATTGCATTTGAAAAATAGGAGATTAACTGTGTCAGCATTGTTCCGTTTCTGCTTTATTAATGATTTAATATATCTACAAAGACTTAATAAATTACAGAAAAGGCCTATAGTGCTCATTCAGACCAATTTTGTTTGCCAGGTACTTATTTGTTCTAAGAAAATATTCCATTAAACTAAATCCTGTCTTTGTTTCCCTGGTCTATTCTCTCTTCACAGAGCAATAGGAAATGTATTTCCTTTTAACAAATATTTTCTTTTTTAAGAAATGGTATGCTTGTGTAAGATAGTAACACACAACGGTACATAGGCAAGCACATTAATTTTTAAAAATACAAAAGTTGGGTTCATCTTCTAAAACATAAGGATTTCCTAGGATATCAACCAGTAATTTTAGAAATGAACCCAAAGTTCCTCACCACCTTTTCAGCAAAGATCATTATTCATTCAAGATGACAGATTTCCCAAGTCTGATTTATATAGAAGGTGTATTTTTGTAGTGTTGTGTGGTGAAAATGTGTACAACCAAACAGTCTCATAACAAAAGGAAAAAAAAACCCACTGTTTGTCAGGCAGGCAAGTTTATTCTCGACTGGCATTTGTATGTCTGTGGGTACATTTGAGGCCTTACCCCAGAAATCATAATCACCCTGTAGAGTACCAGACCTTTCTGCTGTGTCGTCTCCATAAGTGCTTCTTCAGAGAACTCAGGCTGCAGGATGGAAAGCTAAGAAGGCAATTCACACCCAGGACATCCACTGATGTTTGCATCAAACAGGGGCAGCAGGAGGATGATCCTCTTCTAGGAAGTCCTCAGGGCCACCTGGCGAACTCACATTGTCCTAAGGATCATATTCCCCAAGTTCATGTCTGAGCTCTCGCCTACCTCCAGAACCTGCCAGCTTTATGCCAACTCCCTACAAGATGTCCCCATCTTGGATGTTCCACTTCACCCTAAAACTCAATGCATCCACTGTCTGCACCATCAAACCCACCCCAATGTTCCAGGTCTCACCATCCACAAGTTGTCCAATCCAGAATCACCTGAAATTCAACTGAAGTGGCCTGGTTTGTCCAGGTTTTACCATGGTTTCTCACATGGTTTATCCTGGGAGAGTCTCCCTGGTCATCCTGGTGTCCACTGAAACTCTGTCCTTTCCTTTATACCATATCCAGTCAATTACCAAGTCATGTCAACTCTAGTTCCCTTTAAGATGCACAGATCTGGCCACTCCTTCCCCACTCCCWTGCTGCTGGTTCAAGGCTGGGCTGCTTTTTCATTGCTCACCTGGGAGGTGTGGTAGTCGCCTCCCACCTCACTGCCCCTACTCCCCTCCCTTTCATCTATTGTGCCCTGCAGCCAGAGGAACATTTCTGAAGAGCCAGTCTCATGACTCATGTGAACGCACGCGCGCACACACACACACACACACACACACACACACACACACACACGTGCAGATGCATGCATGCCGTGCACACACATATACGCACACTGTAGCTTAGATCCTTTGGGGAAGTCCACTTTCCCTTGAGGGTAACATCCAGACACCTTGCCCTTCATTATGTGATCCCTGCTTAACTTTCTGTCTCTATCTCCTCCTTCCTTYCTTTTATTTTTTAAGCATGTTTACCAGTTTATTAGATAATAAAGGATATGACAAAGGATGTAGATAAGCAGCTAGCTGAAGAGGTCCACAGGATGAGGTCCTCAGGGTGCCCACCACAGGAGCCTCTATCTTTGTGGAGGTGAGACACACCCCTCTTCTGGCACATGGTTGCATTACCCAACCCAGAAGCTCTCCAAACCCYTTACTTCAAGAATCTTTATGGAAGCTTCACCACATTGGTGTGATCCATTGTTCACCTCCAGGCCTTTCCTCCTCCCTGAGGTTGGGGGCAGGCTGGGAACTCGAGCCTCCTTATGACGTGGTCCTTCTGATGGCCAGTRCCTCTCTGACGCTGTCTGGGATGTTCAGTTTCTCACTGCTTGCTTCCTCTCACGGAGGGTCCTTCAGAGGCTGTGTTTGCTTGGCCACTGAGCCAGGTGGGGACAGCTGTCTCTGCCCAGTCGCCCACCCTACCTCCACCCCCTCCCCTCCATAGCTTGGCTTCTGCCTTCCATGGAGACCAAGCATCATGATGCTCTYTTCTTGGAGGCTTTTTGTGACATTCTTGCCACCTGCTCCATCTTTAGACCCCCTCCTCTCTGGGCTCCTGAAGTACCACCTGCCATTTTCACTGATGCACAAACCCCACATCTTCCAGTTATCATTGGCTTSTTGTGTCCCCAGTAGACTTTTAAGTTGGGCCTTATTTGTCTGTCAKGGGTCCCAGCTCAGGGCCTTGCACTTACAGGTGCTCTGTAAATCTTTATTTATGAAGATGCTCACGAGCACCATGCCCAGGAGATGGGACAATGGATTCCAGCCCCAGTTCTTCTCTCCCCAACTGTGTGGCTTTGGGGCCGTCATCACCCTTCTCTGTTTCTGTTTTCTCCCCTGTAAACTGAGCATGTGGGCCCGATGACTAAGGGACTTCCAGCTCTGACATTATGATCACAGGTTTCTTTGATTTCTCACTGACCTTTCTAATAAGAAGGGGAAAGCAAACAGTCTCAGA